AACTCAATCTATTACAGTGATATTAGTGGTCACATTGGCAATTTCAGAGCCCAAAATTCGTGAACGATTTTAAACAATGTACTGTTATCGACACTTAAACATTTCTATAAAAGATCCCATATGCTCAATTAATATCTCCTTCATATCACTGATACAGATTACGTGCTGCTAGCGTTTGAAATTCATTAGTACATATAGATAGATTGCAGTGGTAATTTGTCATGTTATTTTACACATAGTGGTTGCTGTTTTTTTATTTTATTTTATTTTATTTTTTATTTTATTTTATTTTATTTTATTTTTTTATTTTAATTCGATTGTAACGATACAATACCCTGCCCACCCAGGCAGCATAGCTGATTTCGGGCGCCAAACATTACAAAGATTAAACATACACAATATAACATACTAATACAATAAACTAACAAGTAAAGATTAAGCTAAAATCAATCAGTTAACAATATAGAATACAACCAAACATAATAAAATACTCAATCAAGATAATAATAGCAAATGGAAACGGTTGCTGTTCTTTTAATTATAACATGGTTATAGAACTGCAAAGTAAACCTTTATACAGTGTTTTCACTGATGTTGCAAAAGGTGTCCCGTAACAAAAATGTGTCTGAATTTCAGCAAAATCATTATGTCAAAATTAGTCTTGAATTACAGTCAGCGACGTACAATTCTTGGAACAGTTCAAAGTTTCCATGTTTTACCGTATAAAATTGTCAATGGCAACACTACAACCTGACATTTTAAGAGCAATCTTCCATGTTAATGTCAATGTCGTTCGGTTTTTTATCTGCCCGTTCCACCAGCGGTGTGAGTCCGCATGTGTCTCTTCAAGGAACTTTGATCACAGAACTGCTTGCCGCACTCCTCACACCTGTAGGGTTTCTCACCTGTGTGAGTCCGCATATGCCTCTTTAGGTGAGCAAGCTTAATGAACTGCTTGTTGCACTCCTCACACCTGTAGGGTTTCTCCCCTGTGTGATTCCACGTGTGTCCCTTTAGATGATCCAGCTCACTAAACTGCCTGCTGCACTTCTCACACCTGTAGGGTTTCTCACCGGTGTGAGTACGCATGTGTCTCTTGAGACTACCCAGCTCACTGAACTGCCTGCTGCACTCCTCACATCTGTATGGTTTCTCACCAGTGTGAGTCCGCATGTGTCTCTTCAGAGTACCCAGCTCACTGAACTGCCTGCCGCACCCCTCACACCTGTAGGGTTTCTCACCAGTGTGAGTCCGCATGTGTGTCTTCAGATTACCCAGCTCACTGAACTTCCTGCCGCACTCCTCACATCTGTAGGGTTTCTCACCAGTGTGAGTCCACATGTGCGTCTTCAGATGACCAAGCTCACTGAATTGTTTGCTGCACTCCTCACACCTGTAGGGCTTCTCACCAGTGTGAGTCCGCATGTGCGTCTTCAGATGACCAAGTTCACTAAACTGTTTGCTGCACTCCTCACACCTGTAGGGTTTCTCACCAGTGTGAGTTCGCATGTGTCTCTTTAGGTGACCCAGCTCACTGAACTGTCTGCTGCACTCCTCACACCTGTAGGGTTTCTCCCCCGTGTGAGTCCGCAAGTGTCCCTTTAAATGACACAGTTGAGTAAACTGTTTGCTGCACTCCTCACACCTGTAGGGTTTGTCACCAGTGTGAGTCCGCATGTGTCTCTTGAGACTACCCTGCTCACCGAACCGTTTGTTGCACTCCTCACACCTGTAGGGTTTCTCACCAGTGTGAGTCCGCATGTGTACCTTTAGATTACCCAGCTCACTGAACTCTTTGTTGCACTTCTCACACCTGTAGGGCTTCTCACCAGTGTGAGTCCGCAAGTGTTTCTTTAGATGACCCAGCCGACTGAACTGTTTACTGCACTCCTCACACCTGTAGGGTTTCTCACCAGTGTGAGTCCGCATGTGAGTCTTTAGATCACCCAGCTGACTAAACTGTTTGCTGCACTCCTCACACCTGTAGTGTTTTTCACCACCACACGTGTGAGTACATGGAGAAGCTGGTGTCAAATTAGATAGCGTACTTGTTGCCATGCTGAAGAACACTCTGTCCTGTAGAAATGAAAACAAAAAAAAGATTTTCATGGAAGTTCATCTGTGTTGGTAGTAATCATAGTAAAACGTTAAACTTTGTTCCAACACACTATTTACAGGGATCAAATTTTCAGCGACCACTGTCGCCTTCATCAGGATAATTAATGACCAATCACTTCACAACGTGATCTCGCGAGAGTTACGGTTTACAAACACGTGACCTTATTCACACGAGACTTTACTGATACGTGACGTAAGAAATTGATCAAAAGGATAAAAAAAGATTTTAAAGTCCCAAGATTGATAAACATTAAGATTCAAACGATTCTGTTACTCAACATGAGTTTCATTTACCAGAAGAATCTTTCTTAATCATCTCATTAAGTTTCCACAAAGAATCGAAATAAGCTGCAAGTTCTTTCTTTAAATTCCCTGAAAAATTTCGGTATGTCTGTGTGTCTCTGTGTCCTTACGTTGGATATTTTATGTGTCTGGGGAAGACTAAGAGATGGTCAAGCTCAATTTTGGACTTGTGCCTGGTACAAATGCGACAAATTTTGTATCTTTTGTCCTGGGATCCTATGGTTATGACTTTGAGGTGGCCGATAGCCATTCATGTCTGGAAAAAGTGCTGTATGTTTGGGCTCCAGCAGCTTGCTCTGGAACTAGTTTCTATTTTAAGGATGATAATTAAAGAAAACGACGGATTTTAAAGATTTTGGGCTTATATGTAGCTAAGATAGATATTTACTTTAGAAAGTTGAAATTATGCAAATGAGGCTGGATTTACGCCGTTCTATGATACCAGTGTTTCACACAACATGACTAAGATATAGCTTCGTATTTTCGGAACCGAGTGTCACGTAGCACACTTGTCCCAATGGGATACCGTCTGTCACAGTCGATTTTTATCGCTATCCATTGTGTACAGTACATGCACAGGAATTAGAGTTAGCCACCCCTTTGTTGAAATCATGAATAAAACATCATTTCACATTGTCAGTGTGTAATAGATTGAACCAACCGTTGCTACGGATGACGCTATATATAGATGTAGAAAACTCTCCGTCAACATTTCTAAAACACATTTGCTATTTTGTCCGAACACAAGCCGTGTGTAAGCTTCAGCTCGGTTGATAACACATCCTAGACGATTGGCGTATCATACTGCATAGTTCGAGACGATGGAGACGGTTGGTACTACCCAACATGTTACTTTCATCCCAGCCACAGCCGACCTCGACCCTCGTAAGCTTGCCAAGCCGTCGACACAAGAGAGCCTTGACTTTAAACTGTCATCCGAGCAGCCGAGAAGCAAAGTTGAGCGGGCCTGTCTTGTGTTAGGATGCCTGTTGGTGATCTCTCTTGGTGCGATAGCTATGGGGGTCTACTACGGCGTCTTTTGGGGAGGAGATGCCGGGCTGTTCTCTGGCCTGAACGTTACTTCTGTGGGGCCTAGCGGTGGAGGTGGCGACGGTGGAGGGGGCGGTGGTCTTGGGGGAGACGGTGGAGGGGGCGACGGTGATGGAAGCGACGGTGGAGGGGGTGACGGTGGAGGGGACGACGGTAGTGGGGACGACGGAGGAGGGGACGACGATGGAGGGGGCCACGGTGGTGGGAGCGACGGTGGAGGGGGCGGCGGTGGAGGCGGGAACGGTAATGGTGGAGGCGGGAACGGTAATGGTGGAGGCGGGAACGGTAATGGTGGAGGTGGGAACGGTAACAATGGTGGTGGAGGCGGGGAAGGAGGGACGGCAACCCCTACAAGCACAACGGAGCAAAGAACAGCCATCCAACTCAGTGATTTAATTTAATTAGGGCCGTACATTCGTCGTACAGTCGTCTTACGATCGCCGTACGGCCGCGAACTGATGGCATTTTTTTCAATTTGTCGTGCACATATGTCGCACGACATTTATCTGTCTGTTATGGAGGACTTGTTAGATCCTCGTCGGCGGTTAGTTGTAACACAGTCTGCTTGGAAATCTTACGACATCCCAATCGTACCACAACCTATCACGAATGTGGGCGCGACTTCACGAATGTGAGTCGTAGCCGTACATGTGACACCTTCAAAATGTGTGCAGAACTTTCATTCAACTATTCTTGCAAGATTTCATCGTTGTCAACAAAAATTAATTTGCTTTTAGACACGGGTCTTTTGCGACCTCGTGTGATACATATGATTTTATTACCGTGTCATTTGCTTTATATTACTGGACACTTTCACACCCCTTACAGGTAGATGCATTACTCTGTCAGCAACACAATATGGGAAATAGTGGAATGAAAAGCTGGCTACACCATGTCAAAGAAATAATTAACAATGCAGGCTATTCTTTTTCATGGAACACCAACCACTGTACTTAAACAACAAGAGTATATGTACATTGTTGAAGAGAAGACTAACTGATATGTATCAACGGTTCAAACGTTCTTTCACCAATTGTCTGTAGATAACGGCAAGCTAAGATTTTACAAGACTCTCAAATCCGACTACTCTATGGAAAATACCTATACCACAATGAATTTTGACGAGCGAGCTGCCATAAGTGCGCATCCACTAGAGATAGAAAAAGGCCGCTATAAAAAAAACTACCTGTGCACGAGATATTATGTAAATATTGTACAATGAATGCAGTGGAAAATGAAATACATTTTGTTAGCCAGTGTCCTCACTATGAGACCGAAAGAAACAGATTATTTCAGACAGTTACAACAATTTCTCCATCCTTTCGTCATTTAGAAGATCACAAAAAAACTGCATTTCTACTAAGATCACAAAACCCACTCATTATGCAGAATGTGGGACTATTCATTATCCACTGCCTTCAAAGAAGAAGTCGAACCCAATAATAGCTAGCGTAGTAGTAGAAGTAAAAGTTTTTTCCAGACAGTTGTTACCTGTCTCCTGTTACTGTATTGCAATGTGTTTTATTCTTGATTGTAAAAGCAATTAGCCTTCGGGCATGATTTTGCGAATAAAGTTTCTATATCATATAGATAATGTATTGGGCTGTTGGGTTTGGGGGGGGGGAATTCAGTGCAAAAGAGAAACCCCCCCAAAAAAGCCTAAAAACACACTAAAAATACCCCCAAAACCCAAACCTCTGCTTGGAGAGTATAGCTACTAGAAACGTCTGACAGGTTCCAAAATCTATCCAATAGTTTGAGTAACTATCATGCTCTGTTGCTTTACCGGTATCTTATATTAGATGTTTGAACGGAACTCATATAGTGAGTCATATTGGTAATATTTCATCATATATTCATACTAAACTACTGCTTATGCTTATAGTGTCTTTATATATCGTCCCAACTTGTGTTTTTCTAAAATATGAATTAGATATATTTAAAATTGCATACTTTCATTTACATTTAGAGGCACAACAGTTTGTAAAAGCCACGCCCAATTGCACTCTATAAATTATTCATACATCTACACGATAGCCAATAAGCTAATGCAATAATATTGTTGTAATTTTAAAGCATTGGTCCTGCTCCAAACTGTTTTGGTGATGGCCGTTGGTTGTCTGGAGTTTTTATTTTTCGATTTTAGGAACATACAACGTACACACACCTTCAACGTCGGATACAATTACTGAATTAGTCCACTTTATTTGTGGAAAATCTATGGGCAATTTTGCTTAAATGTCTCTTTTCGTGCTGTGATATACTAGTACCCTACGTGTGCGTACGATCCCCTGCCTGCCTTTAACTCATTAGATTGATTTTAGTGTATATACTTCAGCGCTTTTTTGTCAAAGCAATCTTTGTGGACCATTCATTCTAGCTGCCAGGAGAAACAACACTGCAGCCAGATACCGTGCATTCATATGCTAAAAGTGACCATTTATTGTAGCTTTTCAGGCAAAATCTTGGATTTGCCATTAGCGGTGCGAAATGCATGACGGGTAAAATCCGCCATTTTGTGAGATAAACAAATTACCATGCGTCGCACTTCGAGAGTATTAAACGCGGAATTTTTATTTCGAAATGGACGACAAAGATGACAGACCTTCTTCGGAAGGGATTGCACCAGGGACTGCAAGCTTTTCTGAGATCAGCCATTCATAGCTAGGCCTGTAGGGGGTCTGGTAACAACAACCCTCCTTTGAATAACAATGACAACATCTGTCGAGTTTCTTCCTTGCCCCCAACAAAGCACAGAAACATTATGCTAGTCTCCACCAGACTAACACACGACAGTACTTAAGATTTAGCTAAATAGGAGAATTCGGCAACCACACAGTTCAAGTTTAACCTACGGAAGCAGAAATTATCTTTACCGTGGACTGACTCTCCTGGCCAATTTATTCTGCCCTTGTTGACCAAATTCTACGATCCATATACCCGTAGGAATGCCTGGTGGAGGCCTGCTATGACTCCATAATTCTGCTAGTAACTATCTTTTCCATATCATCCAACACTGTAAATCGTTCTGGTAATTAAACTTGTAGATATAGACATTTTTACACTTTAAGTGATGTGAGTCACTGCATCAAATTTTAATGGCGTTGATATGATCACAACGTTGATCGGTAATTTCAGAACACAGACCCCAGAGCCAGAAGGGATCTCTTGGTTTTCGTCACAAATAAAATCTTATCTGGGACTAAAAAAAAACTGTTACAATACCTTGAGAGTATCAGCGACTTGAAGAACCAAAGGCGTCCTCGCTATTATTAACGGGCTTCGGAAAATTTTGTCGACGCGCCCGCTCACAGCTTCGACTTGTCTGACAAGTGACACAATGTTCTGTTCCCAGCATGCAAAGCGCAGGGGTCAGAATTTTGCGGCACTGGGATTTTACGACATTTCCTGCACCAACGCGCGAAACGCAAAAGGCAAACAAGAGTCGGCTTCTGTTATGTCAAAAACATGTTATTCCAAATCATATTTATGTTAAATAAGGACTAATTAAATTATACATGTATATTGAATAATGTTTTAAGGTTGATATGATTTACTTGAGTATGTTTTTTTTTATCTTGTGCTCAGTTACGATCATAATTGAGAGTTTAGAACATAATTGAGAACCTACATAAAAGATCTGGTATTGAATAAAACCTCACTGACCATACGAGGCATGTATACGTAAAGTTACAGCAAAACGAATGTAAGGTCATGAAGAAATAAGAAATGGTGTTAAAGTCATTAGGTGAATCATTCGTTCGAATGCTCATTGGTTACCTGAAAACTAAATCGAGGTTTTGTTGTTAAAAATGGAGGAATACAATTTTTAAGCTTCCCTCAAATTTAAGTTTTTTTTTATGAATCAGTGTGCAATAAGTTTGTAATTTACACTTTTAAAAGACTATGATTGCATTTCTATAAAGTTTTCGCTAGGATGCTTTGAACATTAGGCTTTTAAGACGATTAAGCGTTTTCTTATCTTATCAAAGGGATCTTTTTGTTGTTTATCATATATTGGCTTCTTTCATCGTTTTTTTTCAATCTTGTTGATTTAAATTATGCGTGAGTGGTGAGCATATCTTTTTACTTTAAAGAAAAAAAAATATTGTAGACTGTTTTCGATAACTTCAATATGTAGCGCTGGCGACCAAAATGATGATGTGTTCAAATTATGTATATCGAGTTACCATGATTGCTGTGTACCCAGCATGTGTTTCTTTCTTTCATCCTTTTGATTTTTTTTCGTAGACTAGTTAGTGAAGATATTACTCAGGTGCTGATCTACTGGTTTAATCAGGTGTGCTTTGCTTTTATCGTTTTTTTTTCTTAGGCCACACCAATTTTATTTGTTGGTTCTCGGATTCGCCTCTTCATTTCTTTCTGATTTAAAAAAAAAGATTCTGGTTCTGAATCAACTCAAAAATGCTTATATTTTACCCCTAACAGTTGAAGGAAAGTCCTTTCTAGTTGTTAACGTTTTTCCATCTATCAATTAAGTGACCTGATTAAATGTAAAAAGTTCATAGTTTGAATATTATCCGAGCCTTTTGTGTTGACTTCGTGGCTCCTTTCATAGCATCTGGGGCTATAATATAAACAGGTCTAGGCATCCTATTTTTATTTATTTTTCGCCCTGTCGCTTCATATTTTTTAAGAAAAAATCCAAGAACCAACAAATTAAATTGGTGTGGCGTTAATTTCGTTACGAAAAGCTGTTGTAATTACTGCGTGGGCGTTTGTCAGATTTTGCTAGTCAGTCGACAAACGCCGTGCCTGGTGTAGGACGTGTTTTTGCTGTACAGAAACCAGACAACTGGCATCATGTTGGGAGGGCAGCAGCAATCCCAGACGGGTGACTCCGGAGGTAACAGGTTTTCTCTTAATTTGTCCAAGTCTTCATTTTCTATCCTTTTCTGGTGAGTAGTTATTTCTATAGTCGTCGCCAGCCTTAACTACGTGTATGGCATTTTGCGAGGGAGGGGGGCCATTCCGGCTTTACCATGGTCAGTTCGCTTGCTTTCAAAGCGTGTATTTTCTGCAAATAGCAAATAGAAAAGTGCAGTAAAGGTAGTGATGCTTGATAGAAGATCACAGAAGCAAAAGGTATTTTGGTTGGTTTGCTTTGGCAAAGAACAAAATGGCAGGCTTATTCGGGGGGATTAAATTTGACTATAACTGAGGAATCACACATTTAGATATTTAAATGCAAATGACCAGACGTTTAAAGAATTAGCTGTCCTCAGGAAAAACAAAACTGTAATAATATCAAATTCAGCGTGCTTCTTTACTCGAGTTATCTGATGGTACATGTAAAGGCTTTTTAAAAGACTTTAATACTTCATATAACCATGTATCATCGTTTTGTTATCATGTGTATTTTATATATTAAAAAAAAAGATGCAGTATAGCAGACCACAGAAGCCTATGCGACTATGGGTATATTTTTGCAGGTTCAACGTGTGGCAAAAGATACAATGGCTTGTGAATTTAGCGACGTGCCGTGTTCTATTTGTGGGCATGAATACACCGTATACTTACTGTTTTGATCATTTTGTAATTTTTCTGCACCCAGGCGCCACACCCCAGCAGAAAGACCAGACTAATTGGAGGTCCCTTGCGGACGCCGCCGCGAACATACCAAACGCGATGTACGTCTCCAGAGCAGGTAAAAGGATTTCTAAACAAAAATTTCTGAATACTTTCGGGGGGGGGGGGATGATTTACCACCGTTACTCCTGAGAGGCTGTTTTTGTTGTGAGCATGGGTTGAAAGCCATACAAAGCAGTTTCAGGGCGGCAAATCATACAAATTTTATTTGCATTTAATTTAACATTTTATAAATTTAATGTCTTGGGGTGGTGGGACTACGGCGCACAGATATGTCAACTTTGTATATTCAAATGTTAATTGTACCTTTTTTGTTGTGTGGTGCTGTTAATATAAGTTAACTTGAGTGCAGCGTCACACTGTGCTTGTTATGTTTTTATGTTTTGATGAATAAAAAAAATCGAAAATCCCTGTCGTTTTGGGGGTACCACCCATAAATACCTAGAACAAACCTACGGTACAAAAGAAGCAACGGTTTCTCAATGACATCGCATTTTTGTCTCACAGCTTTCAGTATACTATGCGATAGGATTGATTCCACTTACATGTACTAGATTATATATCATAAAGGAATGAGCAGAAAACTGACATTGAAAAAATACAGTTTTGCCGCCCTAAATTTGCACTGAATGCCGTGTTAAAGAAGGTTATTCTTGGTTGATGCATTTTTTTCTATCCTCCACCGCTAGACTACATGGATGGAGCAGACACCAAGGTGAAGAAGTGCATCCAGCTGTTCAAAAAGTTCATGAAAGGCACAGGCCTCTTCTTTGCTGTGGTTATGGTCCTGCTGTTTCCATTATTTGCAGGTTGGTCTTTTCTGTATAGAATGCGTAGACCAAGCCCATGTCATGGTGCTATTGCAAAGCGTGGCAAAAAACTCGCCTAATATTATCATTTCCTGATATTGCTATCAAAACAAGCTAGTCACAAAGTTAGAGGGTTTTGTATTCAGTAATATTGCACTTGTTTAGTTCTTTGTATAATGGATGAAATTATTATTCAAACGTGGAGTTATAAGAAACGTGATTTTCATCATGAAAAATTTAAAACTTCTTCTGAGATCTCAATGCTGTAGCCATCATCATGTTTGAATGACCAGTCCCTTAGGACACGTGACGCCAGCAATAATTTTTTCTTTCATGCTGCAGTTAAAGTGATCATTCTTTCTGAGGACGTGGGCAAGCTTACTGCACGGTTTGAACTGCGAATAACCGAGCTGGAGCGTAAGTTTTGTTGACCTCATATCAGGGAATATCAAATGTACACCAAAAAGAAAACGATATCTCGATATATATATAATACGATATCTCGATACATTTCTATATTTTGCAATGAATGAATGACCAGGGAGGTTATACAGCATCTCCTTATGTACGTACAAATTCAATAGCTATTGCTCTCTCTCTCTCTCTATATATATATACATATATACATATATACATATATACATATATACATATATACATATATACATATATACATATATACATATAACAGTTCACTAATTCAGTGGCTCACAGCTGCCCATAGTTCTTACTTAACATGAAGAATGTCCTTGATATGACAGTGTCAATTCTTTGACAATTTTACTCAGTTTTGTTCTTGCTAGCTAATAAGGTATAAAATCTATCCTTCAGAAATGTGTGTGCTCCCTGGGCCAAACCACTCTTTGGGAGGTAATGGCCTCTTGAAGTCACCAACTCCAACAGCTACGCCTGGGTCTTCTGGAAATGTGGGGCTCATCTTGCCTGGAAACCAGACAGGAGTCGCTGGGGTCACCGGCCCACCTGGGCCACCAGGGCCGCCTGGACCCCAAGGAGAGAAGGGGCCCACTGGCAATGTGTCTGCCGGGCCTCCTGGGCCACCGGGAGAAAGGGGGCCCATGGGGCTGGCTGGTCCTGAGGGAAAGGCTGGTAAGCCTGGCTCTGCCGGGCCACTTGGTCCTCTTGGGCCACCGGGAGAGAAGGGGCCCATGGGGCCGGCTGGCCCTGAGGGGAAGGCTGGTAAGCCTGGCTCTACCGGGCCTTAATGGGAATTTTTTGTGACTCCTTATTGGTGAATGATGGAAATTTTATACCTTGTGACATGTGTAAGTTACTTAAAGGTTAAAACCACTGTGCATATATTATGTTAATGTAGAGGTCATTTGCATAATCAATGAGGACATGTTGAAATAAAGCATGACAAAGGAGAGGAATTTTACACGAAAAATATTGTGATTTGAACTTAGAAAACCATAAATTAAACTAGATTATGCTAATTACGACCTTATTTCCGTAGTCAATGAGACAAATAAAAACATTTACAAAAACTCATATTTCATGAAGGTATGAGTTCTACGAATTCTTGTTAGAAGAGCAATATGTGAATTCGAAATTGGGCTTGTCGGATATCCCAAATACATTGTTCCAATTTCTGTTATGGCATTTGTATGGCCCACAGAGAAGCTTTTTTTAGTCAAATACATGTACCTTACAAATACATAAAAACCTCATTCATATGTTTTCGCGTGAGCTGCAATTAACGGCCTTGGACCTCCCAAGAAAAGATTACCTGAACTGTTAAAGATGGACATAAAGATATGGAAAACGACTTTTTATTTGTTAACATTAGCTTTTGTTTATGATTTCATGTGACAAATTTTATGTATACCTTTGAGTACTTATTGCTCACAACCCTTTGTTATTTATGTTAAACTTTGATTGAAGTTAATTTTCATTGTCATGCTGACGATTTTTTGTTCTTGCCTGGGCCCCATTGAAAATCAATTTGACAAAGTTGAATGGGCTACCCAGCTGTTTGAAGATCTAATATATAAATAAATAAACGGCGTCGTTTCAATATCACTTCTTTTTTGTACTTCCAGGAATTCCTGCTTTATCATGTCGACATCATGGTACCAATGATAGAAGGTGCTACAAAGAATTCCACATCCGCGTAGACTTCAACACAGCGGCCAAGACCTGTTGCCGAGAAGGCGGTACCCTTGCCATGCCCCGAAACCTCAACTCGAACACCATTCTAGCCTTGATGTTACTCAGGTTTTCTAAAGTCGACGTCTGGATTGGTCTGCACGATCAGCACAAAGAAGGGCACTTTGAGTGGGCGGACGGCACTCCGCTTGGTTCCTTTACGTTTTGGCTCCAAACCAGCCAGATGACAACGCAGGTGAAGATTGCGCTACTTATTTTCGATCCGGGAGACACCTTCTCCGCTGGAACGACGCCCCATGCTGCCGCAAGCTCCCCTTCATATGCGAGTTCTACCTCCAGTATTAAAGTGACGGAAATCTGTTTTTCAAGCACAAGTCTGGGCTTTGGCTTATTTTGGACGTTTTTTTGTCGCTTTTTATCTGGCTTTCTTTTTTGTACTGATCTCATTTTATGTCACATTGTACATATATTTTCATTTCTTCACAGTTTCTTTTTTCCATGGGAATTGATTTTAGGATTCTATGACATTAATATCGTTTTTTTTAGCAATTTACGTTATATATTTGGCTCCTTTTGCAACTGCTTTTTAAGATTTACAGTATGGACGAAACAATTTTTTCAGGTTTTGAAACGGCAGATAATTCATATGCGCGTGGATGTCATCCAAATAATCACCATGGCCTAACAAAAATACTCTTGAACATTTTTTATTGGTTTTGCTTTTAAGTCCATATTAAAGTCTGATGCAGTTAGACACATGTTAACATACGTGTCATAATTTTGGGAAGATTAAAAAAAGCACGAGCAACAAAACATATCCAGTATTGAGAGGAGTGACCACAAGAGACATGAATAAATGCTATGAAACATATAATATGTAGATGTAAATCTATATAACCATGATTATACATGCACTAGTGTTGTTGTTAAATGGAAATACACAATGTAGTGATTTAAACTTAGTGCAAACATGAAACAAAAGACTTGTCTGTTCTGTACGTACAAGCTGGAGCTGAAAAGTACAAAAGACAAAAAGGACAATTGAGACAACGTGAAACCGCCTTAGGGATTTGGTAGCTTGTAATGGGATTTATTTTTGCTAAAAGCATATCAGATCCTTTGTAGAAAAACATGACAACTCCCAAATATGCCCAACTATAGAACCTAATCTCTAAGCAGATCTTTGGTGGCAAAATTGTAAACAACCGGCCAGAAGGTAGCCAGCTTGCAATTGATTATACTTTTTATTATTATTATTATCATTGATAATAATCAAATATTATTTATTATCATGGATTATTATGGATTACTATTGATTGTCATTGATTATTATCGATAACCATTGATTATTATTGATTACCATCTATAACATTTCTTACAATTGATTATTATTGATTATCATATAGCCGGACGGCGTGGACCAATCAGAGGCCCGGATACCCGTGCTGTTATTTCCCGATAACAGCACATGTGGTGTTATGGCGGAATAACAGCACATGTGGTGTTATGGCTGATACCATTATGTTATAGGGTATAGGGGCATGCGACTCTTTCTGTAAACCTTTGTAGCATTTTTCTGTCCAATAAACTTTTTGTTTAGCTTCATTTAAACTACAATTTGCATTAAATGAAATTATCCATATTTGTTTTAAAGCGTATAATATATTCGAATGTATTTTTATGTATGTATATATATTAAAGCTGTTGTATTTCAAACAGGAATTGTGTTGATTGACAGTTTGGATAGGCTATATGATAATAATTTTTAAATGCACTGCCTTTTCCTCGTTGTATATGGTGTCATAACTGCATGGGCAGCTGCCATAACCACCTCATAAACCACCTCGTTCGCTTCGCTCACACGGTGGTTTATTCGGTGGTTATGGCAGCTGCTCATGCAGTTATGACACCATATACAACTCGGGGCAGTGCATTAACCCTTTATTATTATGTCTTACTATTGATCATTAATGTTTATTATTGATTATTATTTATCATTTCTTATCATCATTGATTATCATTGATAATCATTGATTATAATTGATGGTCATTGACTATTATTGATTATATATCATTGATTATTATTGGCTATTATCGATGATATTTATCATTTTTATTATCATTATCATCATTATCATTATTATTGATTGTACTTTGGGAATCTGAAAGAAATGAATTTGGCAAATGTGAGAACTAACCTGTAAGATTGGTGTGGTCTGGACCAGTTTTCAGTCAGATGTGTATAGAGAGTTGGCATTGTAACGTCTGTAGTCACTGCTAGATCACCATGTTCTGGAGGCAATCGGTCCCATCATTTGTATTTACGCATGTACAAATTTTGCCAAAGATTATTAGGGGGCGTGGAAAAGGCATCTGTCTGTTCCCCTCGTCCTGTGCTTGTAACAAAGTTTAAATAAATTAAAGATCCCATATGCTCAATATCTCCTGTATATCACTGATACAGATTATTTGCTGCTAGTGTTTGAAATCTATAAACTGATAGTTATATATTTCAGTGGTCAATAGTGGGAACATTGTTCTATTGAGAGGATGATCCGTTGAAATGGTGTACATGAAACATTAAACGACGGGACGGGCAAAATCGCGATACCGCAAACATGAAGTCATCGGTCACCTCCGTATTTAGGCCATGTTGATTTTTTTTGTTGATTATATGGATGACATCCGCGCGCGCATGAATTTTCGGCCGTTTCCAAAAAAAAAAAAGTTTTCAACCATACTGTAAATCGTGCAAAACAGTTGCTAAACTAGAAAGGCCAATATTTGCTTTGGAGCAAATACAGCGATGGCTTCACCACATTTTACGACATGGCAGGGAAAGAATGAGAAACACAAGGGAAAACAATGCTTTACATTGATATAACTATAATATGAAGTAACATACAACTAAGACTACAACAGTTGGCTAGCTATTCCCTACATTATTGGTTAGGATTTTTAATTGCATAATGCAAACTGTTGATTTAAAAAAAAAAAGTTCATGCCCCGCATTCCAATGCTGGAGCAGGAAAGCTTGAAATACCTACCAAAACACTTGAATACAGACATACTGTCAGTATGGAAATGGTCTGTGCAGGTGTTAATCAAGTTAAATCCCAACAGCCAATCAGCAAGAAATGCTCTGTGCAGGTGGAAATGGTCTGTGCAGGTGTTAATCAAGTTAAATCCCAACAGCCAATCAGCAAGAAGAAGAGAGGAAAGCTGCATGCCTATTGGTTGATGCCCTGCATTCCATTGTGATGACTCATGCCAAATGTGGTTAACACTGCCCACTGACACAGTAATACATTTGCTATAATACAGCCAAAAAGCTCAAATAAAACCATTCTAAAAGCCTGTATCACCAAAATTTAAAAAACGCCTGGGGGTATTTGCCCACTGTACCTCCATACCAAATTTCAGGTCCTTAGGCCCCAAAATGAAGAAGCTGAATCCATTTAAAGATATGGCAGGAGGAGAAGAAGAAGAAGAAGAAGGAGGAGAAACATCAGAAAAAGCAATATGGTTTCACCACACCACTTCGTGGTGTGGTGAAGCCATAATGAGCAAAAATATACCATAAGTTGCAAGGAAATCATTTAGAAACGATACCAATGTCGTAGAATGCCAAAATCAAAGGAAAAAAAAGACAAAAATGTAAAGAAATAAATTCGAAGAGTAGATTATTCGCCATAACATATTCTGTGCCATTTGTTCAACCTTCATGACCACGTAGATTTCATAGTGAAAGCAACTTTTTTTTTTGCAAAACTTTTTTTTATTCGCACGCGCGCATCAGTTTTGGGGTTCCCAGGGGATGTCATCCATATAATCAAATCAACATGGCCTTATGTCATACCTGGGCCGTGATAACGTTTGATACGGGTATTCTGGCCCGTGTGATAAGCGGTATCACACGGGGTTCTAACGATTATCACAGGCTTCCAAAACTTCCATAGACACATGTACATGTAGAATGAAGTATTTCAAGCAACTTTTAAGGTCCAATACAGTAACTTTACTGAGTCTCGCAATGATAACATTGGACTCAGATAGTGTAAGATCTCCAACTTTATTCTTATTCAAATCAAAAAGTATTTCTGAAATCTTCAGGATAACCGTATTTTTATATTCGTTTACAGAAAGAGGAGCTTTCTTAACTATATAAGATGTATAGTATATTATATACTAGTAGTACATGTCTAACGTTATATATATCATTGCAAGATACATGTACCTGATCCGTCTGCAAATCCTAGATACACGTACATGTAGACTATTTCTGTTCACTGACGTCTCTAATCTATTCTTACATGGCTCTATGGCATCTAACCTTACACTACTGAAAAAGAAGAAAGCATCAAATTACGCAGATTAAAATGCTGCAAAAAAAGGTGGACAAAACAACTAGAAAAGATCCGAGAGTTTAAATAGTCCCATGGAGAGACAAAACTGGTGGGTTATCTCCAGAAATAAATGTTATGCTTATGTATGTTCCAACATATGATTCTTCCAAACAACCTTTTAACATGGAAATTAATACAGTCACCTCTATGCCAAATCTGTCTTGAGACAGAGGAGGACATGTAAAAAAGACTTTAACTTAAACAACTACTAAAATTACATAACAATGTTTGATGGAGCTAGCTTTCTATATATTAGCTAGCTTTTACTTGTATTTAATTTGACCCTATTATGTCTGCTTTATATTGTTTGCTTGCACTTCATATATTTATTTCTTACTTATATGTATTGTTATATCTTTGTTAATTATTTTTTTTATGTTCAATGGCGGCGTTTATATAAGTTTTATTTACTTGCATCGCCATCGATGTCTTGTATTTCTTTTCATACGCTTTAATGATAATAAAAAAAGAAATAGCTTACAACATGAAAATGCGGCAAGCAATACAATAGCTATAATGGCACTATATTCAAGATTTAAACTTCGATAAGATTTGTTTGCTATATATGTTCATAAAATGCCTTCAAAAACAGTAATACATCCTGTAGATAGAACAAACTTCTGATAGATAGAACAGACTTAATGCACAATTTCCTCTGGTGTTGGAGACATCAGCATTTCATCTTCAGCGTCAAGGGAGTTCTCCTCCGTGAGAGTCTGGGTATCATTCGTACGTACATTCGTTAACAAAGGCAGTTCGGAGTCCGTGAAACTGTCATTGGTATCCATAATTACTGCACTATGTGGGATGGAGGATTCCACTTGTAAATGGCCGTGGTCTTCGCTTTCCAAGAGGGCGTCTTGCTGCATAGCCCTGCAATTGTTAACTGCTGTATGGATATCATTATGAGTGTCCACATCCCTCTCTATGGGTGTGGAACTGGATTCTACATTTGAGGAGGCGAGCGCGAGTGAGTCGACTTTATCATTATCTTCGCTGTTGTAGACGTCTGCAGTGACTTTGAGTTGCGTCCCCATCCGGGCCGACTTTGGGACGTCGTACGACGTTTCAGCAGCTTCTGCTGCCTCATTCTGACCCCCCACTGGGGAGCCGGAACCGGGTTTTACATAATCCTTGGCCATCACTTCTACCACAGCGTCCAGCTCATCGTAAAGATGCTCAAACTCCGGGCGATCATCTTCCTCCCATTGCCAGCACCGCAGCATCATGTCGTACCTATTGGTTATTTATATGTGTAAGTAATTAGTGATTGGCAATATTACAGGCTTTAAAAAATGGAGTAGACCAAAGTCATGGTTGTTGTCACCACCACTTTGCATTTAAAAGGAGTAATTATCCATTATCACTCAGTACACTTCTGAATTTATGTAACTGGTAGTTTCTGTACACGAACGTTACGTTTCACCATTTAGTCATTTTTTTTATTAGTTTTGTTTTATTTTTCACAACTCATTATTGTCACTGTTATATGTTAAGAGGACCTCAAGAAACCACCATGGTTTTCTGATGATTCTAATAAAAAAAGGAATAAGAAAGAAATAAAAAAAAATATGTTTGAACTTCTCTTTTACGTACAGTTCTTGTTTGAGGCCAGGAGGGCGTGGTTCCCGGTACCCTGTGCTTAGTTCCTCCAGGAGCGTGCGTTCCCGACCCGGATAGGGCACGTTCCCGAGCGTAGCGATCTCGTACAGCACCACACCGAATGACCAACTGGGCGGGAAATAAGCTTTAATCATGAAAACATGTACTAAAACATGCTTAAGCTCATAATTATAACGATAACATACAGCATAGAGTTAGTTATGTGTACCTGCTCCAAACACTAACTGCTGATTCCAGAATTCTGAGTGCATGGAAGGCTATATATTATCCACATTATGATTCTTGCAGTAATGGTTTTATGGGTATCATGTCATGTGGCAACTGTAGTTTTTTTGGAGTTCTCCTTCGGCTGTCTACCTATGGCTTAGTGACAGCTTGTCTTCCAGAGGACACAGGTACATAAAAGACACAGAATTACGTTAACGTTACAACTAACATGAAGTGTTTACCACAGCTTTGCACAATATTTAGCACAGTTTTGTTGCTAGACTACATTGGTACGGTAGGAACCTAAATCTGAGACAAAACCAAAGCGGTAACAATACTCACACATCACTCTTGCTTGTGTACCGACCCTCTCGCAGCAGCCTTTCCGGCGCCATCCACCTCAGGGGAATCTTCTGCTCCGCGTCCTGTCGCCGGTAGCCTCGCTCGTAGATGTCTGTTGCCAGGCCGAAGTCTGCGATCTTCACCACCAGGTCCTCTCCTACCAGCACGTTCCGAGCAGCCAGATCACCATGCACGTAACCGGCCTGGGAAATGTAGGTCTGTTTCGAGAGGTATAGTCAGAAAACATACAATTCAAAAAGTTAATACTACATGTATGAAATGAATGTACATGCATGAACGTGGTCAACAAACATAAACAAATGTAATTGGGCATGTGGTGTGCCATTGTTTGTGATGATGCACTTTTTTGTTGTCACCGCAGTCGATTGCATATTGAAGTAAATGCATATTTCAGAAACACCCCTATAATGTGGTTGAAATGTTCTCGCCCTGCGGATGGGTGGGCCGTCTGTACGATGCAATTAAACCGCCGGTCGGGCGGGTACCATTTACTTGGCCACTGTTCCCAATCTGCAAAATAGAAATCTTCATGGACAATTGCCACCTAAACGACTACTTTTTCTGATTTCAAGGCTGTGCCTTATAAATACAGTATACATGAGTGTGTTCTCGGTGATAATATTGTCTGTGAATTGTCCACCTACCATTCCATTTGCTATCTGCCGTGCTACCTGGTAGATCTTCATCTCGTCGAAGTCATACATGCTGTCTTGGAGCCTCTCCTCCAGCTGTGTTGTGTATTTATATCAAGAAAGTCAACATAAATACTAGAAAGGCCAATATTTGCTTTGGAGCAAATATAGCGATGGGTTCACCACATTTTACCACATGGCAGGGAAAGAATGAGAAACACAAGGGAAAACAATGCTTTACATTGATATAACTATAGTATGAAGTAACATACAACTAACAGTTGGATAGCTATTCCCTACATTATTGGTTAGGATTGCATAATGCAAACTGTTGATTTTCAAGATAAAAAGAAGCGTTCATAGCCCGCATTCCAATGCTGGAGCAGGAAAGCTTAAAATACCTACCAAAACACTTGAATACAGACATACTGTCAGTATGGCATGGCTCTGTGCAGGTGTAAATGAAGTTAAGCCAGTTAAATCCCAACAGCCAATCAGCAAGGAGAATAGAGGAAAGCTGCATGCCTATTGGTTGATGCCTTGCATGCCATTGTGATGACTCATGTCCAAATGTGGTAAACACTGCACACTTACACAGTAATACATTAGCTATTACACAGCCAAAAAACTCAAATAAAACCATTCTAAAAGCCTGTATCACAATAATTTAAAAAACGCCTAGGGGTATTTGCCCACTGTACCTCCATACCAAATTTCAGGACCTTAGGCCCTAAAATGAAGAAGCTGAATCCATTTAAAGATATGGCAGGAGGAGGAGGAGAAGGAGGAGGAGGAGAAGAAACATCAGAAAAAGCAATATGGTTTCACCACACCACTTCGTGGTGTGGTGAACCCATAATAATTTTGTTTAATCGTAAGCAATCATAATGACATACCAATCCCCCAAAAGAGATTAGACATTAATTATCGGTAACTTCCAAATCGCAAATCCATGATCGAGGACTGAAAAGTAAACAAAATAATGATTGCAATGTGGGTAAATACATATGGAATACACTAAGTAAATGTGGGCCAACAGCTTGTAGATCTATCGAGCCATACACACAACTTGAAAGGTTGATATGATTGGCTGATAACACAAATTTGGCATGTATTACTACAATTAGCTTTGTTTGAGCTTTAGTTCCTCATTTGTATGACATTCACATTAAGATTATTTATCAAACATAAACAGACTAGATACAACAACTTACTGATATCATGAAACAAACTTGAACTTTTAACTACCATTTCCAAGACAGGAAATTGGACTTATCCAAATTTTCGACTCTACGAACTTACAGATAGTTTTACTATTACTGACAGAATAAGAACAAAAGATCTACATTAACATTAATGATTATAAAAAAGATGGTATATACATGTACCTTTCTGCAATTCAGTAGGAACTTCTTGAGGTCTCCATACGGCATGTACTCCGTCACCAGGTAGGGGGGTCGGGACAGCGTGCAACAGCCCACTAGACCAAGCAGGTTGATGTGCTGCCTGAGGTTGATTGTGGTGTCGACTTCTCGTATGAAGTTTTTGACTTCTTCTTCTCCTGCATCCTCTTCAAATAAAAAACAACAACTTTGATTTGTAGCTTAAGTTGTGCAATTGCCTAGTGCTCGCTCTGCATTAGGAAAGTTTGGGGTTCAAGTCTGGGCCAGGCCATACATTTAAGACTTGAATAAAATCATACTGCTTTCTCTCCTACGAGAACAAGGACTAATATATATAAGAAGATAATACTTTTGAGTACAATATTTGAGTCGGCATAGATCTGTCTGGGTATGTTTCTGTGTTACATATCAAACCTTAGGGAAGACTGTGTGTCAGATACCCCAATCAATGATCTGCATCATTTATGTAGATACAGGCGATGGCAGGGGTTCGACTCTCCTTAATTACTGTGAGCCATAATTTTAGCCATGACTATAGAGGCACTGCATCATCTGGATGATACCTCACCGACATTGACCTACCTTGAACAGTTTTGACCACCACTGTTTGTTCCGTGAGAAGCCCATTAACAGCTCTCTTTAAAGTCGCAATGAAGACAATACCGAAGGCACCTCTGCCGATCTGTTCATTCAGTCGTAGATCAGTCGGGTTTACCTCGTACTCCAGGAACTGTGGCCGAGCCGGCACAGGGGGAGGAAGTGGGGGTGGTAGTTTGTGCAAGTCTCTTAATTCTGAAAGAAAGGCAGCAAAGCAACATACTATATTAGGTTCTTAGTAGCTCTCACAGTATTATACAACTGTTTAGGGTAGTCATCACCGATATACCCTTTGTTTCCATCTTATGTCAACATCTTTGATGTTCCAAATATCAACGTATTGTAATAAATGAAGTTTGATCTTGTTTTAATTATATTACTGTATTTTTCATCACTTAATTTTTAATTGTTTCGAAAACTTGATACTCTGCACATTGTGAAACCAGATGTGTAGCCAAATTGTAGACTGGTTACCAGACCTAGCCCCCGAGTCCTATATCCTCTCCCGAACATTATGTGTATAATGTATTGTGTGCCTGTAAATGTGCCTCAAAAAGTATGTTTTAAGTCCTCAAATGCGCTATTCGGGCTAAATACTTTTTACCGAGAGGATGTAGGGCTCAGGAGCTATAATAGGTTTAGTAACAGCGTGCCATCAGTGTGCCATCGATGACAATTTTTAGCATGACTATTTCAAATTTAGTGATTTTGGAATGGAATTTAACATGGGTACAATAGAATGGCAAGTCTGCAAGTATGACGTATACCTAGAATATCGGGATGAAAGTCAAACTCTTTAAAATCTTCTATTCCATGGTCGTCGCTTTGCCTCTTTCTGCTCCACCGGTTTCCTAGAATTCCCGCCACTACTCCCAGTACAAGTAGCATCACAGATGGCACCACGGCAATCAGCACCACGTGTAAGGTGGTTAGTCCGGGTGTTCCGCCTAAATCAGCTACTGAAAATACATAAATCTGTATGTTGTAACTGTTCCTGTTATTATTTATGCCAATGAATTATTGTATTGTTTTACTATACTGTTAACACTTTTAAACGTTTTAAACATTTTAATATTTTGATTGATTGATTGATCTATCGATTTATCGTTGATTGTTGTGTAGAACGTGGCAAGCCGAAATCTCTGGGCCTATTCATAGTTTTGGAATTAGAATCGGACTTACCATTGGGGTTTAAATTCCCCTTTTCAGTGTCGTTCATGACCTCTTTTACTGGAGGTGTAGGCGTCTCCTCTTCCACTGTTGGCGTGTCCTCTTCCACTGGTGGCGTGCCCTCTTCCACTGGTGGCGTGTCCTCTTCCCGTGAAAGGGACATGGCTCTATTATGTAGGATTATGTAGGGTTCTGGTACTAAAGGCATTCGTATTTCCACTGAAAGTAGATTCAAAGAATGAAACTATGTTTAAAAGATGGTGCATGGTTTTAGTCATGACAAGGTAACAGATGGTAACATTGCTATAACTAAGTTGCATGATGTACGCACCAGATTGAACTTCACGTTCCCACTTTGATGTGGACTGTCATTTTAGCAAAGAAATAAAAGTAACAAAGTAAAACTGCGGGATACATACATAGATCAACATTTTGTCAGGTAATACCACTACAATCATTGTGATACTTAGCACTTCATGATCATTTGCAACGTATATAATATATATTAAATATGCTTACTGCATTCTCCACTGTGTCCCACCGAAGTATAGCCCCTTATTTACACTTACTTAAGCTTCGGTCCCAATTGCGCCGGGGCCCGTCGGGGATTTAGCCCCGGCCGGCCCCGGTAGGGCTCAGGAGTCGGGCAGCCATCGGCTGTCGTGGTCACAATTAAAGGTTTCCTTCAGTAGCATTTTGTTAAAAATTTTGTCACCCTCTTTGGTCGGTCTCCGGCAGGCACCCGGCAGGTACCCGGCGCGACGATGTCTTGTACTGCCCTATTCGTAACGCTTTTGTTGTGATCATTTGATCTGTGATGTCACACATTTTACCCGGGTTTACGAAGTGCACACCTTTATTCTGTTCATCTGGTCTGTGGCGCAACAAATGTGTCCCGGTGGACTGCCGGCAACCGGAGTAGTACCTCTCGGTGTTCTCATGGTGAGGTCACGGCGTCTTTTTGTCAGCGGGGCCCGGGTAGAATTTATGTCAGATTTAAATTCTTCTCGGGTCCCGGACGGGCCCAAAAATAGCCCGGTAGCCGCACGGTGTCCCGCGGGGCCACGTACGGGTCACGCCCGAAAGTGCAAAAAAACAGCCCGGGGACTACGTATACCCGGCAGGGCCCCTTTTTTCAATTGGGACCGAAGCATTACTGTGACTCAGTAACCCATCAGACAACACATGCAATCACACCAACTGATACATGTACCTACCTGTTAGGATTGTGAGGATTGTGACGTCTGATACGTTTCCTAACTGATTACTGGCGGTGACCCTGTATTCACCACTGTCCTGTAGTGTAGCATTTAGCAGTTTGAGTGCTCCAGTAGTCGCGCTTATGACAGAGTTGCTGGGAAGGGAGCCATTGACTTTTTCCCACACATATGTAGGAGGCGGCACACCGTTGGCGTGTGCCTGAATCGTCACCTGGTCTCCTTCTGTTGCATTAAGGTTTGGAGGGACGTCTATGGTCGTCGGAGGGTCTGCATGACATATCAAAATTGAGCTATAACTGGACTCTTCCGGGCTTCAGGATTGAGAATAAATGTAAGCATTGACAGATGTCGCCAAACCCGATGTACGCTACGATTGATAAAAAGTACAATTCAAGAACTACATGTAATTTAATAAAACACCTCTGCCTCGTAAAGGTAAGAATATCATGACTTAATATATATAATTGATTTAGGCCTTTAGGTCTTTCCGTGAACAAAAAAAGTTATACGTACAGTACACCACAAGGGTCCTGTACTTTCGCTGGGATGTAACATTCCTGAAGGCAGCCATCAATTGGTAGGTGCCATCATCTGCTGGACTTACTCCTTCCAATAGCAGGTCTGCATCACCAAATGCTTTCACTCGCCCCTACATTACATGTACATGTAATGCAGAGAATAATACACTCAGCGGATCATACTGTCATTATTACATCTGTGTTAAAGGATTAAGTTTGTAGGATTTGGGCACCAAATAATCAGTTAGTCATTCAACAATTAAAAAACACATTTTGTTTATCAACAGCCAAAAGGCGATCAGCACATTATGTGTCTGTAAGAACCAAGCCAGATCAGTAATTTCCAAAGTTAACATATTCGTACAGTACAACAATGTCACATTACTTTTGGAAATAAATAAACTGTAACTGAAACATTATTTGCACAGAATACTAGCCGAATAGTGATCACTTCAATGCAGATGGTGAAGAATTGTAAGATATCACAAAAATATCTTATAAACATTCCGATCCTTTAATAATGGTCTTTAAATCAGCCTTGTAAACTTAACCGTTATGGTCATGGATTCATTCTTCTCACCTCATATTTGGAAGAAACAGAGATATTTGAAGGGTGATTACGAAAGGCAATCATCTCCTCAAGACCATTCCTTTGGTGATACCAGGCCTCAAAAACTACTAAGTTGGACCCGAGCCGGTAACTCCAGTGAAGCTCAACACTCCTTCCGTCAATAGCTACCGTTACACCACTGTCTTCGAGGACAATGCGGCTGTCATCTGTGTTCAAACAATGAAAGATTCATCGTTTAACTATTTTAATCATTTTATAATCATATTTTGGCCCAAGCAAAATGTCAAGTAAATATGTGAAATAATCTTCACGTTCGGAACCAGAAGTTTGAGTATTTAAAGGATTTTAAACCATTGCCAGATTGAAATTTACGTAAATTTAAAAATAGATTTGCGAGAAATGGCTCACTGAAAATAAGGGCTAAAATAAGACTACTGCCAAGGATAAATCATAGTGCGTCATATAGATATTGTGGGCAACAACTTAATATACGTAGCCACGTAACCATCAGGACAGTCACACTTGTACGTTCCAAATGTATTCCTACAGGTGCCAGCTCCACAAACGTTTGGGTCACTCAGACACTCATCAATGTCTGTAATCAATTACAAGCATGGATATCATTGTAGAAGTACTAAAACAGACACAGATCGTAAAAGACTTAAAAGTAAACAGATCAAAATGTCAAAAAATCTGAAAGATTACTCTAAGGGATATCTTGTCGGATTACTTATCAGACTAATGGTTCTGTAGTTCTGGCATTTGCGCGGGTTCTGCTTCTTAGGCAGTGGGGATGACCAGAGACTTTGTCCACCCCTTATAGGCCACTTCTTCTCCTTCCAGATCGTCTGATATAACTCAAAGCACTTGTCAAGCACCACTTTCTCACCATGCCTGACTAGCTCTGCAGGAATGTTATCAACTCCTGGAGATTTTCCTGGTTTCATGTCGTGTCTGGTCGCAGTTCTTAAAATCAAACAGGAGTTCCGAGATCTCATACCTCCATGAAATATGGACTTGATATGTAAATGTAAATTTATTCTTTTGACCTCTGCATTAACATGATATTTGCATCGTGATGTTAACTTTTGATTAACTTACAGATGTCCCAAGTATGACATTCCCATCATTCACCATTAAGAAATCATATAATTTTCGCATTAATTATGCAAATTAGATCATCATTTGCATAATTAGTATCTGTTGATGTTCCATCTGCCATAGGTTACATACATTATATGTAAGAAAGTACTATAATGTAAAACACTGTAATTATAGAATTTCTTCATTAATTATGCAAATTAAGCCCTCATTTGCATAATTTGCATTTTATTATGTACATCTCTCTCTCAGCTACCTACCTACCAAAAAATGATGAAAATACGTTGTTCCTATTTGGACTTATTGGCTTTCAAACATTTCGCCCGAAGGTCCCCTGCAGTTCCAGAACGAACTGTTAGGGGGACCAAACCCACACCACCTATTCCTGACAAAAAAAATCTATCTGTCACCAAAAATTCAAGACCATAGCATGTTCAGGACAAAAGATACAAAAACCGAAAGTTCTGCTGCAGTACCAAGGTCATCCACCAGGGGGCCCATATTTTACCTTGACCTTCGACTTCCTCAGATTTACCAGCATACCAAATATCATCACAATCCATAAAGGCGTTATGAAGTTATGCTGACTGCAAATTTGCGGAAACACAAACACAGACAGACACACACACACACAGACGCGCCAAAAACAATACCTCCATTTTTTCACGGAAGTAACTAGAACGATGTAAAATAAGACACTATAAAATATAAAAGAAACATGCCCATGCCTACCTTCACATGTACGTGAGTCTGAGCTTAACTGGAAGCCCTTTGGACACTCACAGCGATAGCCCCCCTGAGTGTTGATACAGATGCCATTCTTGCACAAGTCTGGTATCACCTGACACCATTTGGCATACTTTTCTACATAATAGAAAACAAAGAAGGAGTCAGCAGAGGTGTTGGACGTAAACAGCAAGAAGCAGACAACTGTTGGAGTCCAACTCTGCCCAAGCAAAACCTGCATGATGTCTTTTTAAGCTTAACATTCTTAGAGCAAACCTTTCCCCCAGACAATACACCCACTTCTAACATGAACGTTCACCCACATGACGAGCAACTAGTGTTTTGGTTTCCGACCTCGCTGTCACGTTTTGGTTAAGAGAACTGCAACAGGAAAACCCAATGTTACCTCTATTATAACAAGCAAGTAAGAATGATGCCTGGCTGTAAAACAAAAAGAACATTTTCATTAAATTCTACCTACTGTAACCGTTATATTGATAACATGCTCATTTTGTTTTTAATATCTAAGACTTTATGACACCTGTGGCCACCCCACATATTTGAACAGTAAGTGTAAATGCCATTGAGTAACCTTGAGAGACATGCCAATCCACACTGTTCCCACACGTTCCTAGGGCTCCAGCCGGCTCGAATTTTTTTGCCATAAGCTCAGGTTCATGATCGGACCTGGGGGAGAGTGCTCACAAATCTAGGGGGATTTGGGATTATTTGCATCTCAATTTGCACATTTTGAGTGGCAAATCATGGGGTTGAGAGTGGTTGTTGTCGGTCCTCTGGTTGTTTTCATATTTTTACTCAAGATTCTTGTCCATCAAGGTTGACGTATTGGTCTAACAGAATTTCCGTAATATGCCACAAAGTTTCTGCAACTGACGGAAAACGGGTGCTGATTAGAGCCCTGCGCGTTCCACACGTATATCTTCACAAGGTTTTCTCCGTAAGGTTTGTTTTTCCTAGTGAGTAGCAATTAAAAAATGAGGTTGTGTCTTATGCGAATACTCACCGATGACTTCTCCTTCTAAAATGGAAGGATCAATTCGTAAGCAATCTCTACACAATTCCCACTGCACAAAAATGGGAATATTTGGCCGTTTCCGGACCTGGACACGTCCCGTGGAACTTGGCGTGTCCGGGTGTGTCCGGGTGTGTGCAGGAAATATCAGCCACGGCGTGTGCAGGTCTGTGATACCTCCGGACACGCCCGGACACCTGGTAATTAGTCGTGTGTACGGGAATATACGGGCCTGCACACGCCACACGTCGCAAGTACTACCAAACAATAAGGGGTCACCATACATGTAGATTGTTTCGCAAATGCGTGAATTGAGAGGTGCACATGTGTTTTCAAAGGCCGCGTGTAAGAAGAGTGGGAAAAATGCTGGTTAGAAAACAATATTATTTTCACTTCTGAAATCTACCTAAACATGAGTTCGCACCATGAACCGAATTACTATCTAAAAACGTTGTAGGTAACAGGCAACGCAACACAAAGACATCTAGATTGGATGGTAGAGGAAATACACGTTACATTAAAAGTCGGTGAATAAAATAAATGTTGTTTGGGGGCCGATGTCTGCTATATATAAACTCGACCTCGCCAGAGTCTGGTTGATTTTTGGGCCACGCCAGGCTTATATAAACCAAAGACATTATATAAACTCTGCTAAAGAATCTAGAAGGAAATATAAATTAGCTTGGGATTAACAAGGATTTTATATGAACACGGAGCTTCAACTAGGTTCTGATATAACGTCCTTGGTATCAATGGGGTCTAAGTGTATCCCAAAGTTTATATTTGTAACTACTAGACAAGTATAACCCTTGCTATGATGAACAATGAGCAGATTTCTTTGTGTGGTCCATCGTCTCCCCGCATATATCAACGCTTCATTATCCCGGCACCATATTGGATCTACAGTGGGCAAAAAAACAACTACAGAATTACTGATCAGAATTTTACCAAACTAGGCTATTGGGAACCTTTCGAACTTGACATATTTCACCTTTGCAAACATGGTCGTTTTTTGTTGTTGATGAGGGTACCGGCTTGGTGTTTTTCAAATATCAGCCCACGTTAGTGTAAGAGAAAATTGGAAGAGACAAAAGATGCACGGTTTACTTGTACATTGTTGTCAGATGTGTATTGTGGTGTCATGGTCAGAGACGAGACGTCGCCTATGTCTTATTTACCTTGTTTGTTTTTTATAAGGGAGGTTTAACTTCCTTGGTTATAATTCATTTTCTAGAACACGAAGTTGAAAACATTACAGAGTTAAACTGCACATTATGTGTTAATGGTAACATTCCAGAGTATTTTGGCTTAAGATTAGCCTATGTTTTTTATTAGTGTGCATGCAACTTTTACACAATAGTAGACAAGCGGGACATTTCACAACTCTTTGTGTCATTATTCCTGCAGTGACCTGTAAACCATACCAGCCAATTGCATGCATTTCTCTTTGTTGGGGTTTGAAAAGGGGGCCAATCAACGCTCGAGTCATTATTTTTGAAATCTTTCCGTTACATGCCGGGTTGTGGAACGTGCATTATACAACTAGAATAGAAGAAACGTAGTGAGAGCATGGAGGTAGAAAAACTCCACGGTGAGAGATTGTGTCATATCTCATCATTCCCACTCACGGAGGAATATCGGTCATTCTACGTAAATTGAAGCAGTTTTCAAGGCAAGAACGCCGCGGGACACTGGCAAGACGAACTGGGACAAGACTACTCTCCAGGCGGAGGTTGATTGGGAAGATTGTGAACTTCAGAGTATGCCTCGTTCTTTGGAAAGCCGGTAGCCAGAACTCTGGGAGCCAGGCTGCGGGCATAGGCGAGTGATAGTCCGCGTGCAAGAGTGTAATAGACCGGACCAGAGGACCGATGTACACCCCTCCTGACTATCCGCTGTGTCCCGACTCAAGGCTGTGCTGAGGCACAAGATGTGCCGCCCGTGGGGAATGTTCCTTTGGGCATACATGTAGCAGATTAATTAGTCGGTCCGGTCTATCACTCGCCTGCGCACGGTCTTTCACTTGCGGCTGTCCGTAGGCTCACACAGTACCACAAGCCGGTCGGGTGCATGATATGTTGCTTATTGGATTCTGTCGGGGCTAGTTGTTTGGTGACTAGGCAAGAAGAGCTTGGGACGGCTTCTAACGACTGGTGCCCAGATGAGACTAATATCTGCTCCCGTGACTAGCTGCGTCTAAAGGCAAGACAAAGAAGGACGAGACCTACAGTTTGTTTGAGCTGAGCTGAAAGACCGGCCGAAGAACACTGGAAATTTTGGAGGCGCACAAAATAGAAACACTTAAAAAAAAAAACTCACAAAGCCCAAGCACCATGTACAATCAATAAAGAAAACAAAATTATGCAAACAAGAAGGGGGAATAAACGGCCATGATGCTACTTTACATTACAAAAGGCATATCGGAGGGGGGACGTGTGCGGGGTGTGTACGACCTGTACACGGGCTGATAATGAGGAAGATAATTAGGTGAAAATTACCGCTAATTTATGCATATTTCACACACACACTCAGAGGTACGTGTCACGTATCCGGGTGTGTGCAGAGATTTACGGGTGGCGTGTGCAGGCCTGTACATGGCCCGGACACCTGAGTGGTTCATATCCGGGCCGTGTGCAGGTCCGGCAAGTGTACGGGTCGCGCACACCTGGAAATGTCTTACTTGGAATTTCCGGGCGTGTGTACGGGATATATATAGGACGACCTGGATACGTCGGTTTTCGTCCAGTGTCCGTGACTTCACCTGAAAAATAGAATCACACTTGATTTAAAAAAGATAAAACAGTAAGTGTAAACGCCATTGAGTAAACTTGAGAGACATGCCAATCCACACTGTCCCACACGTTCTCAGGGCTCCAGCCGGCTCGAAATTTTTTGCCATAAGCCCAGGTTCATGATCGGACCTGGGAGAGTGCTCACAAATCTAGGGGAATTTGGGATTATTTGTATCTACAAGCGTTTAAAAACGCAATTTTTCACATTTTGACAGGCAAATCATGGGAATGATATATTATTACTCAAGTTTCTTGTTCGTCAAGGTTGACGTATTGGTCTAAAAATTTCCGTCACATGCCACAAAGTTGCTGCGATTGAGGGAAAAACGGGTTCTGTTTGGAGCGTACATCTTTCAGAAGGATTTCTCCTTCAGGTCACTATTGTAATCCCTCTCTACTACTCTCCAAGCAGAGGTAGGGTTTGGGGGTATTTTTAGCGTGTTTTTAGGCTTTTTTATCGGGGTTTCTCTTTTGCACTGAATTTTTTTTCCACCAAACCCAACCTCTGCCGGCACTCACCCCGGGGAGGGGCAAACCTATTAAAAGCTATTTAAAACAGGCGATAGTGCCCCTCCCCGGGAACCATCAAACTGTCATTAGGGCCTTACTATTTTACTGCGCGGGATTATCACACCCCGAGAAACAGGAACCGTCTTCACTCGGCCGTGCTTGTCTCCCGCTGACTTTGCCTATTCAGTATACTGTGATGTCATCGACCTCTGGTGAACTCGCGCCAAAATGATAGCATCATAACGTAAATTATATTGATTACTTGAATAAAAAAACACGCACGCATGAATAAAAGACATGAATACCTGAACATGTTTTATTAGGTTTAAATTGAAGTACAAAAAATTATCTGAGCCATCGCTAGATGTATGTGAAAAGCGATCAAAAAAGGTGTTTACGTTCTGCTGCTGTCACCACATTGTGGGACGAAAAAAATAAGCCGAGTAGAAACCAGAAAGTCAGCTGAAGTTTGCGGACTTCTCGGACCCACAGATGGCTCAAGAGGAGAACATTAGGAGAAGGTATGTATTGCATTAAATTTTTATCCGTTCCTTGGTGGTATGAAGTGTGGAATTACGACGCACGGCTTGTTTTGCGTCCGGAATATGGAGGGATTTTTTGGTCCAACATGGCGCCTGTTTACATCCGAGATGCGTGCTTATGCTTCCTGCTTCTTCTTTTTTTGACGGCTTTTATGCGTTTTGTCGTGCTTTGTTATTTGTATCGGTGACAATTTTTTTAACGTAGAAACGTTCTGAAATTTGACGATACCTTCGCACTGCAACAATAGTAAACCATAGAAATCACTGGGCATCAGGATTACAGACAATCTTGTCACTTGGATACTTGTCCAGAACATGTAATGACCAGGTGTGTACTCAAAACTTATATGATACATTATAATATACAATTTCATATGTTCGTTGCCTAATAGTTCAAGAGTGCCAAGAGAATTGTTAGACTCCCTTCTAGTACTTGCACATTTTTTTTAATGTATGGATAAAGCAGTTTTCCCATCTGCTTGGAGTGGGGAGTGAATTCCATCTCTCCACACCTCTAAATGTTAGTTAGGTTATAGTTAAACTTTGGCAATCGCAAAGATTGACTGATTCAAGCAGTTGATTTCATATATTGTAAATTGTATCCTTTGAAAAATGGAAATATAACTTGACATGTATGAAAATATAACTTTTGCAATTTTTACCTCCGGGGAAGGAGATATCCTTCCGCGAGGAGGTTTTACTATTGTTCGAAACATTTCTGTCAGCAGCTGTTTCTCGCGATCGGCTGGACGGATTGGTCTGTTGTTCGGTATACGTATTGCTATTGGGCTGCAGATGATGCAGAACGTTTTTGTTTAATTGCATATGCGCTTATGGGCGTCGAAATAAAAGGTTTTTAAGTGCTCCGGACACCCCCGTTATGCTGAAAATGGAATTTACCATGTTGTTAAGGAATGGGGAGGTTGCAGTTTTGGGTCTTACCATTCAAAAGGGGTCAAACAGAGGGGTGTCTGGTTCCGATAAAAAATTTGGGTGACGGCGGGGGTAATGGCGCGGGTGACGGTGTAGGCTGTTAGACACGTTAATCAACAGTCCATACCAAACCAACCGTCAGAAGCCATCAAACACATACAAACATATTACGCACATAACTTTCATACTACACACAAACAAATAACCTAAACCAATACAATACAAAAAAAACCCGGAGGTTTGAAATCTACGATTTTCCTTGTTGTTGTTGCAATTGCATGTTAGGTTGTCAGTGTTTAGGCTTTTTTCATGCATGAGGTACCTGGGAGAAATTGTGTAATATAAGACAGTAGTTTAACATTCCATCATCACTGCTACAGATGTGTGCTGTTCAGATGTCTTACATTACAAAGGCCTCTCAGCATTTCAATTATCTATAATACTGGTTTATTTGTTTCATGTAAAACACATAACAATGGTTCCCACATGGCAGTCAGACTGAATTGCGTGGGGATTCCATTAACAACAGATGATAAAAACATTAACTGTATAGGGTACAATATTAACAGCGTAGTTATACTGTAGCTAAATTACACAATAACAAATTTAAAATATTTAAAAGATCTCATGAAGACACATTATACAATATAATTTAGAATAGGGCAGTTTTTTTTCTTACAAGTTCAACAGTCGCACCATGTGAGGTATTGCACTAGAGTTATATCTTT